AAACCACAAATTCCGTGACCAATAGCACTTCAGTTTGTGATATATTCTCTGCGGTTATCAGACATAGTATGTCATCCCTATTTGCAGATATCATAAAGATGGTCTACAACTTCTGACGAGCTGAACTTAATGACACATTACTGCTCATGCTGGAAGACTTCCACTCCCTGGAGAAATTGTGTGACACTTAGATGATGAAGTCCTCGGTGAAAAAATCTAGCATCATGTATTGTTCGATACCCGAGGAATCAATTTCATTCAACGACCAGCACCTTTGTATACAGCTGTCTACCCGCGACCTCGGAATCAGGTATTCTTGCATTTTCAACTTTTCCGAACAAGTGGAATACCTGCTGGCTAGAGCAAGAAAATCAGTGCCTAATATACTGTATCAGATCCAGATAACCCCAGTCAGAGTAGAGCTCTTCGAAATCCTCACTCGCCGAATTTTGGAATATAGCAGTATCATATGTGGCAGTATGAGGAAATTTGACAGAGTATCGCTGAAGTCGACAGAGGTCACTTACCAGACGTCTGCCAGGCAAAACATCCACTAAGAACTATCCAGAGCACTTTCAACAATTCCAGCTCCATCTGCTTTGGTTACGAAGACAGGCATAATCTGATGCCTCTGTACAACACGATTCATCAAAACGCGCACTACTATTTATGTTCCTTAGAACTACAGCATAGTTCAACAAAGGAGCTACGAGCTAAGCGTTTACCCTGAGTGTACCCAAGTGCAGGACAAATCTGCCATCCAACTTTTTCTTCATCAGATATGCTGCCCTGTGGAATAAGCTCCTAGTCACAATCATATCGTGTGAGAGCGCAACGGCATTTCGTGTTAAGCACGCCAGTTACCTAGACTTGAACACGATTATGACCCCATTCCCTTGGGAGAGAGCACTTGGTGATTTGCTGCGAAAATGCCAGACAACATCTGATAAGTGAAACAGAAAAATACTTTCACGCAATATGATATACCTCTAGTGCTGTTACTATCCACTAACCCAACTAGCGCACATTGCGGTAAAACTCATCTGTGAGTAAATATATACCCTTGAAACAGCAAAGACAATGAAAATCACACAACTCTTTATCATTCACGCATGAGCATGACTTATTCTGATGAGAAATATACCTATCATGCATATAACTCATCTTCTGTAAACAGCCTAGAGGCACATTGGTAATTAATCGGGTGGTAAGTGAACTAAGCACGTGGTCAGGATAACTTGTCTACTATCGTTATCAAGGAGTGTGCAGATTACCAAGCACAGCTTCACGCCGACTTTAGCAGTGTGCGCTTCATGCAACACAACGTAGCTGGCAGTTGGTGAAGCGCAACCATCATGCCAGTGCCAGCGAAAGGAATCTGCTAATATCGGCCAATCGTTTGTATGTCGGTTGCTTTAGAGACAGTTCAGAAGCTTATTCATCAAAGGATCTCAGTCCAGAGCCATTTGCTTGACCCTCAGCAGTCTGTATGTCGCAGTTCAAGGTCCGGCTTATATGCAGTAGCATGTCTGGCACAAAGTGCTTGCTCCTCAATGGATGATACAAATAAATCCATCCGCATTCGTCTTCCGATTACTAGCAATGCTTTCGGTTGTGTGAATTATGAACTATTTTTGCGCGATCTAACAGGTTCTGGAGTTAAAAATTCGGTTGTCCTTATTTTGAAAGACTATTTCATTAGGCGAACCCATGTTCCCAGATTATTTGGATAAAGTTCACCTTCTGGGAGCCATTCTGTCCCCAATCCTATTTTTAACTTACATTACCTCATTCCCGGTCACTTAAGAAGCCATCTGGTTGAAATATAGGGACGACGTGATCCTTGGTGCCCATCATCCAATCGTCGAGTCATCGATCAAACTGCAAACGTCCAAAGGCAACTCCACAGCTTTATGCGAGTCCCTTTACCTACAGTTAAACACGTCAAAATGCAAGGACATATTTTTTCGCTGTGCAAAAGAAATCGCTACCAGCAAATCCTAACGCAATTCCTGAAACTTTACCTAGACGATGAAGATGTGACCCCCTCCACTTCAGGAAAACATCGGGGAGTGAAAATTAGCAGTGGATTTATGTGGTCTCCTCACGTGAACGAAATATTCAATAAGTTTAGAAGACTTCCATCCTATGTTACCCGTTCCAGTACTTCTTCTGTATCCCAATTTTTGATCCAGCGCATTACCACTGTATATACGCTAGGCTACCGGACCTACTGCTCTACTGTAATCTATTCTGGCCAGTGAGTAAGGACTCATCGTCGGGTCAGTGAAACATATATACTAGTGTAGTGGCATTTCAACCTTGGAGCTTGTTAACATCATTGTATCTAGTCATATCAACTTCTGTAACAAGCTAGCATTTAAAACCCTGACGGATTGCTAGAGAGACACATATTAGACATACAAGTTTTGGGAAACATATGTAGTTACCTGTTTGTTTCCTTCCGCCATCACTGTTACTGACATTTGTTTAAACACATCATTCCAATAATTTCTTTGCAGCCTGTAGTCACTGTTTCTGCCCTCGGATCACAGTTCCACTTGGCTGTTAACGCTCACTCTGTTTGTTCGTTTCGTGCCTCTTGTTGGTTCCTTTATTGACAACTCTTCATTGGCTTCATTCTGCTTGCATGTCTTCAGCAATATGGTCTGTTTGAATGTCTTTTAGTAGCTTCCCTTTAGCCCATTCTCCAACTACCATTTAAACAGACATGATTCAATACATACTATACTTTCCCAGCTGGTATTTGTAGTATTTCTTGCGGTCGTAGGGCGAAGGCGCTCTTTGGCTACCCAACATTTTATGGCGACGGAGGCGCGACAGAACACTGATGTTAGCCACCCCATGCACGGTGCGCTATCCGAATGCGTAACAACAACCTCAACCATACAGAGCACAAAACTACATACGCCCGCACGGTATTTGAACGACAAAGACTCAGTAACTCAAAAACTGGTCGGTAAAATACTCCATTAATAGTGGCTCATTAGAAACAATTATGGTTTTATACCCTGCCTCGTATACTATTCGTTTTCCTTATCCTTATTCTTATACGTGACGTATGTGTTAGAGTTGAATACTCACTTCTCATGGGTGCATAAAGCAATCTTGACTTCCATTTGCTCTTTAGATCGATTAACTGAGTCGAACGCAACAAGGTAAAGCAACATAGCTATATGAAGTGCAATGGAATCTGGATTTAGGTTGAAATTCTCCAGACCCACATCGTCCGTCACTTTGCCGCTATCCAAACCGTCTATGTTTTTACTGTGTGAAAGTCCAATGACTAACAATAACCCCTCCGACCTTGTGGTTATCCTAGTTTATGACACCGATGCATGTTCTTTTTCTTTCTTTGGGTGCGTGTATGTATGTGTCCGCTTATTCCGCCCTTATTCTACTGCTCCGGACTCCGTGTTCACAGAGTGGTCTGGATCATTCTGTTCCGAATTCCCGTGAATCGAGCTCCCTTGTTCAACCATGAGATCTATTCTTGCACTATGCATTAGTGCATGCTATCATCAATCAGGAACGAATTTGCTTGTCGATCCATCACCCGGTCATAAACATTGAGGTACATGTGTCTGTTACATTGTTATCTGCATGTGTGTTGAGTTCTCCTAATTCAACCGCTTGAGAGCACCGCAGCGCTGCTTGTTGTCAAGTCAAGTCAAAATAAGCTTTATGTAATCAGATGGGTACATTTTCAGCACCTTACAATATCGACAACGGACAAGCTAAAGTTACATTATCAAAATAAATTTGTAGGAATGGATAAAAAAGACATTGTGCAGAAGTGTCACTTGAATAAACGATCAGTGTAAAAAAGCAACAATTAAATAGTTCCGGGCAAAATAATTTAAAGCCAGCGTTGCAAGCTAGAATTTGGGACGGTCCATCTTCATGTGCGCAGCATCTTGTGTAATATTCCTTCCGTCCCGTGTTCAAAGATCTTCCGTGTCTAAGTAGTGCGACAAGCTGCAATGCAAAATATAAATACCTCGTAGAGGGCTGGACGCTCTACCCGCCCAGTAAGAGGCCGATGTAAAGGTGGCAGATAAGGAAGCACGGAAGAGGGAAGGGAAAGTGCCGGAGTGGAATAGGAAGGTAAGGATAACAGGAAGCGAAAACCGATCGACTTCTTACGTGTTAAGGTGTTACCGTGACGCCCGCGGACCGCCTACCATTGAAATTTTCTCAAAGATTACGCGGAGGACAGCAGTGGTGACCTTGAGAATAGCTTGCCAAATACCAATGTTGAAATGTTCGACCTCAGCAGGTGAACAACTGGGGTTTGCTTATGGATTTACTCAATGCGTTGTAAACACCACCGTAGATCTTCAATGCAACCTATGTTTTGATAAGTTTGAGCCGTTTCCTACGAGTTAGCTCGACGACAGCGTTTGATCATAGCAGGAAGTACTCTGTAAGTATTACACTATAACACAGACCGAGTAGGAACCTGCCTGCTCTTTCGGGACTCCCGTTCCGCAGTAAAGCGGCGATATGTCAATGGTCACGCGAAAAGTATCTGACTTATGCGGAAAACTGGGTACAACCGATAAAGATCAACCACTTTTATTTCAAACGACTCAAGATCACAGTTGCACGTATATATAACTAGCCATTTATGAGACCACCTGCTGAAATCGAATGCAAGGAGAACACTAGGGAGTTCACTACATGCATACACATTGTACCAACAGTGAGATATCCTTAAACAGTTGACTTTTCACCATCAATATAAAGTGTGACGTGCAAAGTACCAGGATTCGTTTGTTTCGGTAGAAAACTGTAGATTGATAATGCCGCCTTATCACCGCGCTAATCGATAATCTTGTGTTCCTACTCCCCGTGCACCTGTTTTTATTTGTACGTTTTTTCTAATATAAGGGAAACAGCATCCAGCAACGACAAATATGTCGAAAACTCAAGGACTCTAAGATAATCCGCTATGATGTTAAGACAGTTGCACACACCGGTAGCGCGTCGTAAGAAAAATGATCATCGTGGTACGAACGATGAAAAACCATTGATGTGACAGGTGTCCGTTTGCTGGTCCCTTCAAAACAGTATCTTCAGTGGAGGTGGGTCAAGAGTTCAGAGGAAAGACATTCTGGTGGAGTCGGTAGTTTCGGAAGACATATTCACATAAGTGCACACGGTGATCAGTAAGTGAGGCCAAGCTGTTCTGAAACTGAAATAAAAGTGAATAGATGACATGCAATGAGACCGCGGTGAAAAGTGCTGAAAGTTAGAACCTTATCTGATAAGTAACGCGTAATAACCGGCGCCCACAGACTACTTGGCAGGAAATGCGCGAATCCACAGCGGAAATGTTGCGACAATATTCCACCCCTAGCATAAAAACAAATCGTAAGCCATTCGCGTTTGGTGATCATTAACAGAGGAAAACTGCAGTTTAAATTAATAGGAACCAAACTAGCCCATGTAACGAAGAAGGAAAGACACTATTCGTCCGGCAAACTCTCAGTGAGAGAAGGGCCAATAGAATGTGCCAGAAGTTGAGATCAAGAAATAAATAAAATAGCATATATTATGTGAACTGCACCAGTAATACAGAGCGGATTATTGTAAATCGCAAAACAGCACAACTTCATTCTCGAGTGTGATAATGGACAATGGAAAAATGGCTGATAACGGATTAAAAAACAAAAGCCTAACATGTCTAGTATGTTGGTATGAGAAAAAATTAAAATATTGCACAAGTGGACCAAATAAAATACGCATGGGTTAAACGACAGAGTGATTGCGTAAAGAAGGATGGTTATGGGAGTAAGATAGTACAGGCGACACCAAACAAAATGTAGTAGTAGTTAATACTCAGAGCAAGTAACAAGTAGATTGCTCATCCCTCTGGACAAATTTACGTGCGTCACTGTGGGTCATAATTGCAAACTGGATAATAAGCTAGAATAAATCTAGAATATCCGTTCAAGTAACAACGTGCACAGCGTTCAACTCAATATCCAATCCTTTTTTTAAAGTAGCTAAGGTGAAGGAAAAAATAACTGAAATTTAAAACAGTTAGTTCCCTTCAACAATTTGAAAAGCACGGAAAGAAGACGAAGGCTGGTAGATGCACGTATTTCGTATTGTCTCCTCAGTACCATTAACAATAACCGATATGCATAGATATAGCTAACAGTGGGTACAACCAGACAAGCTTAAGGTGCAAAACGAATGACGGAAGTTCACACCTACGTCCAAGGCAACTTTAGGCTGACAATTGATTGCTTCTGAACACACAAGTCTGGCTTAATCCGGCTTATAGCGACAGCCTCAGCAAACCGAAGGAAGCGGGGATTAGGGCGGCGTAACTCAACTTTAAACGCTGAGCGCAGCTCTAATTGGTGACCCGAGTCTAATAGGTGTTTGCCTATCGAGGAAGCCGGCGGTCTGCGCGAACATGGAATCTGAAGAGGGTAGACAATCTGAGCAACTTCACGTTGAACCCATCTTGGCACATGTTCCTTTATTCGGGAAGTCAGCGTTCTATTGGTTCTGCCCATGTAACTTTTCCGCAGTCACATACAAATTGGTATACACAGTGTGAGTTGGCCCCAATATGCTGAGCTTCCTTCGTTGGAGGTATGGGCAAATTTCGGGTTCGGTTGATGACAACAACTTGTGCAGCATGGTAACTTCCTTGTGTAGCCGAAATTATACGCTTAGTTGTCTTCAGCGTTATTATTTGTCAGCCTAAAGCTGCCTTGGACGTAGGTGTGAACTTCCGTCATTCGTTTTGCACCTTAAGCTTGTCTGGTTGTACCCACTGTTAGGTATATTTATGCATATCGGTTATTGTTAATGGTACTGAGGAGACAATACGAAATGCATGCATCTATCAGCCTTCGTCTCCTTTCCGTGATTTTCAAATATAACTGAGTTTGGAAGGGTGTTCCAGGGTTAGCAGACCCGGAGGATGAAGTAATTTTGTCGACAATCGAGACGACTGTGTTGTTGACTCAATTTCAGGCTGTTGCCTCTGAGGTTGGTGTGCGTGCTGAGTTTCATATGACGGCGGCATACGCGACTGGGGTCGCTCAAAACCTGGTAGAGTAATATTAGGTCTCCAAGTAGCCACCCGTAGCGTCCACTGAATATTCTGAGTGTCATCAGCCGTCGCCGGTACGGAAGGTTGCGCAATCCCTTGACAAATTTTGTTGCTTGAGGTTGGGGAGGTTTGAGCGCTGCAAGGTCAGACTTTGGCCAAGGAGGCCAGGTCTGGGTTGTGTATTCGACGTAGGGACGCAAGTAGGCATTGAGAATCAGAGATAAGGTAGATGAATACACTCCCGAATACCATCCGCAAACCAATATGCTGGTTACCACGTTTTGAAGCGAATTCTGACTGTCTAAGGTCATCCTGTAATAGTACCCCGAGGTCATATTCCTGAGAGCTTGTCTGTAGATCGTGCGCCCCAAGTTTGTAAATGCAGGCGAGTCGGTGGCAGATGTGGACAACGTTGCACTTGTCCACATTGAATGGCAGTGCATTACACACCGACCAAAGCCAGGGCTAATCGAGATCGCGCTGGAGGATCTCGTGATCGTCCATTCCCTTGATCAACCGCGAAATTTTAACGTCGTTCACAAACAGTAAAAATTTGAAGACGATGGCTCTCGCTAGATCGTTGATGAAAATTAAAAACCAGCGAGGCTCAAGTACCGAACCTTGCGGTACGCCGCACTCCACTGGAATTAGGTCCGGCAGCGGGGTTCGGACAATAACCTCCAATTGCCGCACGCGGAGAAAATTACCAATCCATCCTAATACTGGATCTCCGATGCCGTAAAACTGCAGTTTGTGCAAGAGGATTCGATGATCCAAGCGATCAAAGGTTTTCGAAAAATCCATGTAAAATCATCGGATCCAGTCCAATCGTCGACTGTCAGGTGCAATCAGCAGATTCGTGGTACATGATCGATAGTGACGATACCCGTACTGCTCCGACGCAATGGTGTCGTAGCTTGCCAAGTAGCCCATCAGTACGTCCACGATTATCGCTTCCATGACTATGACGAGAACAGGGTAAAGCGTTACCGGACGGTGACTGTCAGGATCAAATCGACTGCTTCCCTCGTGAATGGAGGTTTCCATTTTGAAGGAACTATGTTTCCGTCTAAACAATGTTTAAAAAATCCGGAAACTTGGTGGGTTAGCTTACTGGCTGCTACCTGCAGTGCTTTATCGTGAGTGTCATCCACTCCAGGAGAACTTTGTGTGCGAGGATAATAGACTTTCCAACAGTGTTTCTGCTGTGAGTGTGATGCTGAATAAAACTGATGGTGTAGTGACAAAAACACGTATAGTGTTCAAATGTTGTACCCCTTGTAACGTAGATAAATACTGGACCCTTAAAGCGTTGGCTGTCTCTGTTTCAGTGTGTGTATGCCCACCAGTCTTAGTGAATGGTGAGATTCCACGCTGCATCTTTCAAAGTCTATTCACGTATCTGTAACGTAGCTTGCGCTTCGAACAGAATCATTTTCCCAGCTCCTGTTGGTGTGATAGCTTCTCTTCAGGAACCTACTGTACAGAATAATTGTGAAGGAAGGCAGGAGCGAGGTATACCCAGACATAAAAATGCCGTAAATTTCAAGCACCTTTCTAAAACACGAAACAATCAAAAAGGAGACCATTCCACGTCAAGAGGGAAAGTCACTTAAAAACAGCGGACGAAATGAGCCCACGCAATCAGGAACTATAAGCACCATCCGTGTTGTGTCGCCAATGACGACTTAACCCCACCAGCGCAAGGAGAAGTTTGGACAGTGGCCGGAAAGGGAGACTTGTATATATGAAATCACATTTGCTTATATAGTTTTGAAGGCAAAATGATGGGTAGCTACTATAGTACAATTGAGCCAACCAAGAAAAGGAAAACGTCAAATGCAAAGGGCGAATAAGCAACCGTGTAATCAAGAGCGAATCGCATATGTCCATAAAAATAGCATCATGGGACCCCAAATGTAAAGCGAACATGCATTTACCGTGACGCACACTGGCCAATCAGCATAATGAAATGTAACGTTTAAACAAATGTCACGAAACAACGAGAATAAGAAGTGCAGAACCGAAATAAAAATTTTTACAATAACTGTGTGACAACTAAATATTTCTTTAATATAATCAAGTAGAAAAGTGATGTGGAGAAAAACCAATGGAATGTGTTCTTGCAAATAACACTGCGGAAGATGACACGGAGATGAGCATCCATTAACAAGGACGTGTGTGTACCAATCGGACTAACGCAGTGGAGCGTTTAAACAACAGTCAAGAAGTAGAAAATAGGAAGAATAAAGAATGACTATTAACCTCGTTCACAAAAATAAATGTCAAACCGCTTTTCTCTTAACAAGCCGAATTTGAACGCTTTGCCACCAGGTAGGTTCAGTGATAATTCTTTTATAGACACTTGTTAAAACCAATTGAAGAAAATAAACAGCCAAGCGGAGAAACAGAGAAGTCAGGCTAAAATCGTCATTCCTGACGCCAAGGCTGAGTCGTAACGAATAGCGCCTCTTATCCGAAAGCTACTGATTACGTGGCCTCCATTAAGATTACTCATGCTTATTCGGTACCGCTGCATCTAACATAGAGCTTCATCAATGAAACGGACATGGTTTCAGCTAACTGCTCCCACCCAATTGGATATAGAGTGCAAGTGTACCATGCGGGCCAGATTGAGATCAGAAGTTTTGTTTGTAAATGCTAACTGACGAAATTTGACATCGCTAGTCCATGTCTTGAGCGCATATTTGTCACGTTTCTCCTAAACTATGGCATGATTACATATCGCAATCTTGATCAATAGTCTGATTTAATGTCGCTTCCACAGTTAAATAAATGTTTAAAAATTTCTGACTGATTAGAGAGAACGCAGTAACCAGTTAGGCAACTCCAACACTAGAAGCAGCAATCCATAAAAGTGCGCAGACAAATATGCCGATTCGGGTCAGTTCGATGATCATGAGGAATAATTAGTTATCAACCCAGACCTAAAAT